AGCTGGTGGCTTATAAAGGCATATAATTCTTTGGGCACATCATGAAAAAATGTACAAAACATATTCATTTGTAAATATTTATCAATACAAATATATACCTTAACTTTAAGTGAAGTAACCAATATATTGCATGGCCATTTTCAGCATTAGTACATACTTTAAAAGTGAATATACTATCTATATCAGGGCTGTCAAACTCCCAGCTCACAGGCCAGATGCATCACATGCTGGCCACTCCCATGGCCATTTCAGCCAAGTGGGGAAAGTCCAGATACATCATGTGATGCAGGTGTGATGACGTGAGTTTGACACCCCTGATCTATTAGAGGTGATCAGGACACCACATTCTGAAAAACAGTTTACTCAATGAAACATAAATGAGATCATTCCATAAGATCTTTCTAATTGGTTAGCTATTATATATTTGTCTGATACACCATTCCCAAGGATTGGGATTACCATTTCTATTGCATTATGTTTTCTGCATAATACTTCTGAAAAATTAAGTATATTTCTTGTCTTGAGAGTGCAAGGTCCTCTACATTTTCCTTTAGGAATCTTGGTTGCAAAGAAGGGATTTGAAAGCTAAAATGAAGAATATAAAAGGCAGAGCTCAGAAGGTGAAAGGATACAAAAATTGCATAGGATTAAAAAGAGAGTAGCTGAAGAAGATACAGAAGACACAAATGGAAACTACAAAAAGCTCATAAAAGCTCATTCCATATAGATATTCATATTATACCCAGAAGTATCCTTCAGCTAACAAAACCACATTATTAATAGCCAAAAATATAATATAATTCAAATAGCTGTCTCTATTATAATGTAATATTCTGCCACACTATTTGGTTTTGGCACTTTGGCAGTTTTCAGCACAATCTCTTCCCTCTTGCCCATTACCTGCTATGTATTTACCAGATTGTTTCTGCACAATATTTCAGGATTTCCCCAAAACCTATTGCTTACTAAAGCCACATAATCTTTACATTTACACAGTATTTGACAACAATTTGCAAGCTACAAAATGTGAATCTTATATACTGTATTCATCTATGAATGTAAATTAGATTTATTGTATAGTGATGTGCACTGGCTTAAAAATGTTACTTCTGTATTCCCTCCAATGGCTTCTTTTTGAGTCTTTTTCTTTTCTTTATAGGTTTATCGATTTAGTGACTTTGGTCTTTACACAATCTGCATGTGTAAATTGATTTAAACACAACTGAAATTTTGTTACTTTGGCTAAGTCCTGCAATTTGCACTGAACAAATGGCTCTGTGGCTCACTGTCCAGTGTTACTTAATTACACCGTTTTTGTGCTTGTGATAGAATTTATGTCCTTGCTACATTATATGCAAAGTCTAACTCTAATCGTTCATTTTTGGAAGCACTTCTTCATTTTCAGATAAATAATGGATTGCCATTAAATCTTATTTCATCTCATTCCTTCTGATAATATTACTAAAACCAGAATGAGTCTTGATCAGGAGACTATGTTATAAGGGTATCTTTAACTGTTAAACTGTTAATCTCTCATTTGACTTTGTTTGAATCTTACAGAACTTCTCCTGACTGGAGTGGTGTTTTCTCCACTTTCCAAGAAAATGATAGATTAATGCTAATTCAGTTCAGAGCACCTCTGTGTTGAATCAGATAGTGATGAATTTGCGTTGATGACATGTTCACTGTGTTAAATGGTTTCTGGCACTTTTCTTCTACTGAGCTGAGAGGAAATTATGAGTTGATGGTGTTCTATTATTTTTTTCCTAGGACAACAGATTAATTAAAATGGCTGTTGCAAATGGAAATTTCATTACTTTTTTCAGTATTTATCTTCCTGATGATACATTATTAGTTGTCTGTAGCAATATACTGTCAATATATCTTTAATATAAATATATTGAAAGCACATTCAGGCTGTCTCAGATTTGTCTTGGTTGTTAATAAATTACATTATTAGTGTAAAAGGCATTCTCACTCAAGAAACAATTCTCATAGCTATAAAGAGGAAAAATAAAATGTGATATCTTGAAACAATAAATCACAGTTTGATAAAGTTGGATTTAACTTGTAAGAATTCTAAAATCATTTTCTTCTTATATTAAGTTGCTTAACTAGATTCTTAATTATTTCTGCACTAAATACCCCAGAACTGGATATATTTTTCAGGGAAGACGATATTGTTCTTGGAAATCCAGAGCTAATGGACTGAGTCTTTAGCACTTTATAATATAATGATCACAAAAGTAAAAGGAGACAGCTAGGGGTTTATTCTGTATAACCTCCTTGTCTATAGTTCTATCTCTATCTAAGATAATCCGAGGCCACTACCCTCTGCTTTTCTTCCTAAGTATACAAGCACAGAGTGCATGCTGTTTGACTCTCCTCCTAATAGAATTAGCTACGTTTTACCTTCCTTGTGAGCAGGGGTGAAATTCAGCAGGTTCTGCCAGGTTTTTGAGAACCGGTAGCGGAAATTTTGAGTAGTTTGGAAAACTACTCTGGCTGGCCCCAGGGTGGGGTGGGAATGGCAATTTTGCAATATTCTTCCCCTGGAGTGTGGTGGGAATGGAGATTTTGCAGTATTCTTCCCCTGTCACACCCACCAAGCCACGCCCACAGAACCGGTAGTAAAAAAATGTGAATTTCACCACTGCTTGTGAGGTGTTTCTGGTAAAGAAACCTCATCTCTATTACAGTTTCAAAAGCTGCTTCACTAATTATTATTCAGGTCAATTGTGTACTCTAGGGAATGAATACTTCACAGAATACTTCAACTTCCAACTAGTTTATAGGCACCAGTGACTGAAACAAAATGGGAGAAGACTTTTCATAAAGGAAAGAAAAAATATGTGAGTCTCCTAAGCAGCAATTTAAAGATTAGGGAAGAAAGCAGAAAACTTAGATAAAAGGTATCAAGAAAGTTCAGTCTATGTCACTAAAGTTTTTGTGATAGACAAAAGGAAGTGACCCACAAGCACGGCAAGAGCAAAGAACCTGAAAAGCTGCAAGTGACTGAACAGCTGCTGGGATCAACAGCTGGTAGTGAGACACATTATTTTGCATTTATAGGATTTAGACTAAGCAAAAGAGTTTGAAAAACTATCTCACAGCTATACAAGAAATAAATCAGAATTGTCCTTTGTCAAAAAAAAATCCACAATAAATTCTCCATCAGGATATATGTGTGTGTGTGTGTGTGTGTGTGTGTGTGTAAAAACTTTTTTCAGGTCAGCTAGAAGAGTAAACCATGCATTTTGCATTATATGCAGATATTCAGCTATATGTTGAACACTGGTAGAATCCACTTCTGGATTCTTAACAATCCTTTCAGTTGTACATGATTTATTTAAAGCTTGGCAGCCTTGAATCTCTGGAAGATACATGATTGAAAGCTACTCCCTAATTTTTGCATTTGTCTCCAGATTTAAATGTGGCAGTGTTTAGATAACTATTGAATCTAAATGTCCAAAAACACATAGATCTGATTGCTTGTTTGACTAATTTACCAAATATACCAAAGCTCTTGGCAATAGAAAACAAGATTTCCGTGAACTTTTTTAAAATCAGATTTATTGAAAGAGAAATGGTATTTCACTGCTGAAATCTCAACAAATGCATACTTTCACTCACTTTACCTATAACAATTTCTAAATTTACTAGAGCAGGTACTTTTCAATTTTCTTGCTAACACCCATTTGATTGAGAGGGAAGATTGTCTTCTTGTATGTAATTTTTTTAGCTGATGTTCCAAGGTAACAATCTTTGATAAACCACTATCCAGTTTCAACTTAGCTTTCTTCAGAGGCTTATTATTAATTAATTAAATAAAAGAAAACACTAACTTTCACTGATTTTAATATCCTGACAGTAAGAAGGATTAATCAATGTAACAAGCTGCCTTCTGTAACTGTGGGTGTTCACTGGAGATTTTCAAGAAAAGATTGGATAACCATTTGTCCAGGGCGGTGTAAGGACTTGGACAAGAAATTGGTCTAGAAGACCTCCATGGTCGCTTCTAGCATTATAATTTTATATTCTAAGTGTATAGATCATAAGGTGAAGCAATTCTACACTTTTAAACCTGACCTTAATGCAAATCTTAAATTACCAGGATTGAGAAAGGTTTCTTTTGTATTTTCCTCTTTTTTGCCTCTCCATGGTCATGCTTTATTAATAGCCTTTTTCTGTATAACAAATTATATGTAATTTAGTTCTTATACCTTTAATCATCTAAAAATAAATTGAAAGTAACAATCAGAAATGTCATATAATAAAATAACTATACATATAATTGTATCCTTACTGTTTCCCTGAAATAAATAGAAGTAAAAGTTAAAATATGGTGGGGGTGGATATTAACAACAATAACTGTGTAAGTAATACATTTTCAACAACTAAATTAGCTTCTTCACAGGATAACAGAACTAAAATAAAGATTCTATTTCATCTTAACACAAGTATTGGAAAGCAATTCAGTAAAGATAAAATTATTTCATCAAGTACTACAATAGTTTGAATAAAGTTCTAATAAAGGGGAATATTTATAAGGATGAAACGAGGGGTTCTTGGTGCTCCCCGACCTTGGTTGTTTTCTTGCAGATGTTTCATTACCCAAACTAGGTAACACACACTGATTATGTTATCTAATTTGGGTAATGCACCGTCTACAAGAACACAAACAAGGTCAAGTGCATAACTGTTGAAGTGAACAGTTATGCACTTGAGTGAGCTAGAATCATGCCCAAAGGTTGTTCTGTCATATAGATATGTTGTCCTTCAAAACTTTAAAACTCTCTTTACTACAGTTTTAAGTTACCAACCACTCTTCAAAATAGGTTTAAGATTAACCTGTTCTAAATTCTTGCAGTCACTGTTTACTACAGAAAATATTAGGTTTTATTTTTAAAAAAGACACCTTTGTGAATTGCTAAAACACCAATAAAAAGAAAAGAAGCTGTGATCGAAAACAAAAATATATACTTAAAACCTCTAATTACCTGTAACAGTTAATTCTGTGGTTCTTCTGACAGAAAAGAGTCCATACTTTAATTCACAAGTGTAATTGCCAATGTCATCTTCTGTAACCTCCCGGATAACAAGAATATCCTTTTTGAACAAAACGCTTGGTCTCCAGGTTGTGACTTGGCATTCCTATGCAAAGATAATTACAGTATTTTAGTAAGTATAGCCCTTGTACTTTTATTTGAGACATCAGTTTGATTCAAAACCTATAATCTTAAAAGCTTTATAAAAAAAGTCTCAAAACCAGTACAAAGTTCATTGCATTGCTTGACAGGAAACTATTTTAGGACACATTTAGAAGGAAAATATGCCCATTCACATAAGGACTTATTCATCTTTCATTTTCTTTTTCACCAATTCTCAATTTTCTCCTCTGGGATCATATTCTTATAACAATGAAATAGAAATAGAAAAACTGCTTCATGGAAATATGTAGTTGCTTCACATATTCTTATGGAGAAAACACTTTTTCTCCTATTGGTAGATCTTTAATTCTGTGAAACACAAATATATTTTAAAATATTTTTGAGTAGAAAATTTCTCATGGATGGAATGAGGTTATATGTATGCACACAAATCTTTTGTCTTTTATTTCACGAAAATTTCTGTAGAGGTTTCATGCATTCTGGCTTCTTTTTATGTTACCATAAATGCAAGAGAAAGATATCAAATTAGGGCTTCTCCTAAATCCCACAATAGGATTAATGGAACAGCCAGGAATGCTGTAATGTTTTGAAAAAAAATGAAACAAATGAATTGTTATATATTATGAACCATCTATAGTAATAAAATGAGCACAAATATCTCATCAATAAAAGGGGGGGTAATTCGGCATGTGGAGAACAATTAAAGGGAAAAAAGCTGGCCTCTTCTTCATGGGTAAGAAATGTTTCAAGAGGCAGTACTCTGACCAATGTGCTATCCAGCCACCCTATTTGCTTGTATACTACTGTCTACTTTATCAGAAGTTATGAAGTATATTTTAAAAAGGGAATATGTAAACTAATGATGGGGAAAGAAGGATCATAGAAGTTCAGGAAGGAAAGAAGAGGGAATGCAGGAAGCATAATCTATACTACAGTCTTCCATAAAATAGTTATTGGCTGCTACATTGTTCTTGAATTGCTCAAGTTCCCATGGTTTATTTTTTCATGGCTGAGTCACTAGTTCCAATAGTACTATACTTATTTTATTAAGAGAATGAGGCAAATTTATTTGTTTAAAATGATGTGATTCTTTCCTCTTCCATAGGAAATATCTTTCTTTGGATATGGCACTGGATAAAAGTATATATTTAAAGAGGGTGACACATTCATTTATGGGTCAGGCATGTTATGGCTGCAACAGTACAGTGTTAAATACCATCTACTGGAGCCAGGGCCTGAGACATTAGTTATTAAAATAATTAATGCAGCTTCACTTTTAAAACCTAAAGTATGATTTCTTTTATTCATCTTTTATTTTTTTTCATTTATGCACAGAAACACCTTGTTAGAACTATATACCTTGGGTTTTTAAAACTATCACTGTGCATTATGAATATGTCTATTATCTAATTACTGAATGACTGAACATATTTTATAATATATAAAGAATGCAATAGCTATCTATACAATTGAAAATATAAACAAAGAAATTTTATTTTCAGTAACAAAAAAGTGACCTACTGCATTTAGAAATTTGTCCATCAAATATCACATTGCTACTCCCCCCCCCCATTTTTCAGTTAACCTTTTTTCTAATTATACTTTTCAAAATCTTATGAACCTGTGTATTCTATGTAAAAGCAAAATTCAGATACTAGAAATGGAGCAAAAGAAGACGTAATATTTTGTTGAAGATTTTTAACATTTCTTACCTTATACCATAAGATTTCTGGCTCTCTATATGGTATTAAAAAATCCTGTATGTTGGGGCATGAAATTTCCTTGCTTTTGCTAAGTTCAGCTTTTTCTAAATATTTCATCTTTGAATTGTAGCACAGACCAGTGTCATTTTCACCCACTGTCAGTGAAATGGATACCTTCATACAATAGGTAGAGTTTCTGCCATGAAACAAAATACAAATAAGAAAAAAATGGTTAAAAACAGCATTAATTTCTGTAAATGCCTTAATGTGTTTTCAAGCAAACAGGAATCGTCATCAGTTCAGTAAAATTGGGGGGGGGGGGTTGTCCAATTTTAAATTCTTATTTAATTTAGAAGAATTAATACATTTCATTTACTTTGCAAAAAGAATTACACTTCAAAATTTCCTTAATTCTAATTATGGCAAGACAAGTTCCTGCATGGAGGGAGTAAAGTTATAAAGCCAGTTATTTACTAATCAGTATTAACATTTTAATGTTCCTATTATGATCAAAAACTATCACCCTTTGAAACTGAACTAATCAGTTTGTAGCAATATATTTTAAGCCTTCCACACCAGAGGTGGTATTGTGCCAGTTCGCATTGGTTCGGGCAAACCGATAGTGGCGGTGGTGCAAGGCTCCACCCACCCACCCAGACGTCATTACAGACCTTCCGTGCATGTCCAGATGTGCGCATGCTCCCACTACCAAACCGGTAGTGAAAAAAAGAGGATACCATTACTGCTTCGCACTATAAACATGAAAATAAATTCATCTATTTGTTACATTATTTTTTTGAATGAAGCAACAATTAAAAGAAATATTCCTATAATGTTTATTTTATTTATTTAAATTTAGCTACCACCCATCTCATTCTCAGAGCGACCTACTTAATAACAGAGTGACTTGCTTAATATCAACCAATGTAAATTGCAGCCTTATAAAAATACCACCTACTCATTTATTATATTCCTGTACCTCTTTACTTTCAACCATTCTGCCCAAGTGGCTTAAGTATACAGCACTTTCTGGTAATATAAATGAGCATAGTCAAAACTTCCATGTTTTTATATTCTAACTGACCATTTTCTCCTACTTGTGCAGTTTCATTATGTTCACAGAGAATCTGGAAATATGTGACTTGCTTCTCTCAGTTAGATGGTGCTGAAATCTTATGAATAAAAATGAAAATGGGAAGTATTTGTTTCAGTTTAGTTTTGTTTTGCCTGGGTAGATTAAGATAATGTATGATTCTTTTTGCTGTACCAGCATCCAATCTGTTTGGATGTTTCTAAGCATTAATACACATAAAGTGCATTTATATTCTCTCATATATGATCTGTTGAGATAGTTTGTAATTTAAATGTTTCATCCATCGAGAAAGACAATACAGTGATATTTGCAATTTGTGAAATAAATAGAAAATATAACCGAAGACGGATCAGTAGACCTTGATTTTAGGGGATAAGAATATGCCTATAAAGGAAATGATAAAGTAGCATTATCAACAATATCTGGAGATAATAGCCCTCTCTGTTCCTCCCTTGAGAATAGGCAACATCAAACAACACTGAAATCAGGAAAATCTTTCTCTGCAGCAGAGACCAAAATCCCAGGGGTCCAACAAGTACCAAAAACCTTGTTGGGGGATGTTTTATCGAGAAAACCACAGTACGATAGTAATGGAAGCCAGGATAAACTGAAATTGGTGCTCCCAACAGACCAGTGGCTCAACAATAACCAGGAAATCCTAATGATGGAAAATGGATTAGCCTAGAGGGGTTCCAAACTGTATGTCCTCTCAGGGTTGAGGCTGGAAGTTCTACAGCAAAGCCATGAGGAGGAACTAGGAGGCCACTTTGAATTCCTAAAAATGCTCCACCTCGCCAGGCGTCAATTTTGGTGGCCAAAGATGGAATCAGAGGTGGAAGATTACGTAAAAAGACCATTGGCTTACCTGAAGGGTCCTTCTCTGTGCACCGCGGGAGAGTCCAAGCAATGGACTAGAGAGGAGCGGTAAGAGAGGAAGAGGATGGAAGGCGCAAGGAGTCTCCGGGCCAGTGGCACCGCAGAGCATCCGTTCCTCTTGTCCTTGGAGACAGGCAGCGGAAAGGGATCACCTGAGCTGAGTGTTCTCCCTGGTGGCAAAGAGGCCCACCGGCGGCGGACCGAACTCGTGGAAGAGGCGATGGAAGAGTGCAGGCTCGAGATGCCACTCAGCAGGATCTCTGGTGGGCCTGCTGAGACAGTCTGCTTGGGTGTTGGCTACACTCAAGATGAGGTCGGAGCACATGGATTCCAGGTGACGTTTCGCCCAGTGGCCCAGGACCTCCACCATCAGTAGGTTGGAATCAGGCACCACCCTGGCGGACGATGAGCACCTCGGTGATCACATTG